GCAAAATTGGAGCCTTTGACAGAAAAAGCAGAACCTGCAGCAGCGACAAAAGCTTCAAGAAGTCAGCTGGGATCAAAGCCTCCTAAAAGGAGCATGTTAGGGAAAAGGCAAGGATTAAAAAGCCTTAGCATGAAACAAAACCTATTTACTGTTTAACCACTTTTATTTCTGTCCTCCACCTCCCAGACACTGGAGCTCTTTCCCCACTCATTAATTAAGCTCTTCTAGAGTTTATCGACTGAGGGCAAAACTGCCCTGCAAATAGATCCTTGACAGTCGGTACAGCATTTCTGCCCTCACAAAGCGAATCCTATAACCCAGCTCTGTCAAGGAACATCTCTGGATGAGAGAGATGTGGATAGACCAATATGAGCAAATATCCTAATTCTTTAGTAGTTAACCAAAACTCCAATATTCTTTCGTCAGGAACACAAAAAGAGCACCATTGTAGCTAAAAGGAACCTATTTTTCACAACTACATGGGAAAAATACATCCCATTATCACCCAGGTCTGAAAACATGCTCTAGTTCATCTGCTTTTAGAAGCAAGATGACAGCTACTAACTTTTCTATATGTTTGCCTAATAGTAACGATCAGCTTTTTTTCCATGGGAATTATGGGGTGGCATGAAGAAACTCAATGGAAGGTTTCAAATGGAGATGACCATTCCATTGACTACACAAAATGGCAGAGATCTGTATAGCTACCTTGACCTTAAAGGTAAACTAATCAATTTTGAGGTTTCACTGCCAAGTGAATCCAAACATACCAAGAAGGCAGTAATAGAGCCCTCAGGCCAATTACAAAATTGCATTACCTTCAAAGGAAGGATCATCTGGCTCTCAAAGTGAAAATGCTTCATAATAATATCAGTCATCACAAGAGTTACACCTACATTTGAGTAACAGGGAGTGGATGAGTCACCGCTTGATGAGCAGACAAAAAATGAATTTTTGGGTTATGGTCCCAAAGAATTATCTGTTTCCTGTAAATTCACTCGAAGGGAGGAAAACCACAGGCTAAAATCTCAGCTTGGGGCAATTCTGTATTTCATGCTGAAAAGGGGCCTGTACAGGACATTGCTGAATAGACAGCTAAAGCAGTCCAATTTCAAGGTGTAGAAGCCAATATGACTGCTTGAATCATCTCCCAGTCTCCTGTTCAGCTTCTCATCTACTTTATTTACACAGACATATGTGATTTTGTTGCCAGCTGGTGATTTGGCAATAAAATGAAATCTGAGCCTAATGTGCCTGGAAGATTTGTTTGGAAAAAAATAAACCCAAGATAAAAAAAACCAAACTAAGTAGTACTTGTTTATAGAAACATTACGGTACCTTTGATCCTTTCTTCTGTTCTGCTTCAATATGCTTGAGTAAAAAGAAAATACGCTGTAAATTTCAGAGAGCAGCATGGGGGCTCCTGTGTTTGTGTTGCAAAGACAGGCTGAAGCCTTTAATCAAGACAAACTCCTGTAGGGCAAATTTCCCAATCCAGCATTAGCACGGTGGTGTTGCTAGGTGGATCCCCATCCAAGCCATCTATGGGTCTTGTAAGTTGTCTGACCCACTTCTGCGGCAGGGCAGCCCTGCAAAATGATTTGGGCATGGGAGAAGGTGGGGAGACAAGGAGGTGACACACAAGGAATGAAGACTTAAGCTAATAAACATGTAAATATATGGAAAAATTATTCATAAAACTTAGGAATGGCTCAAACACTGAACTACAAATACTAAAGAAACAGAAATATTCCAGAAAATATAGCATCCATATGAAGAACACTTCACATGCGCATGACCCTGCGTAAAAACACTACAAGTAACCCCCTTGACCTTCCCTATACATACACATGTCAGACAAATATGTACAGGATGCTTTTTAAAAGCTGATATTTATTGTATCTCACATCAAAGCCTAACTGCACACGGTCAGATTCTGATTGGATATGAGCATGCAACAGGCACAGGGGGCAGAAAGGGCATTAAAGCTGCTTGTCTTATAAAAGCCCCAGTTAATAGTGGATATTTTGTAAATTAAATTGCTGTAACAATTACAATCAGAGGTGCAAACTCACCCCTGAGGTCTATCAAGACACCACCTCCATAATTTAGAGCTTTCCAGTGGGATTCAGAGTGTGTGTCTTCAGAGGCAAACCACTGGCTTATTCAAATACTTGTCCAAAGTGCGTAAGGTGTAGTCCTATGCTGTGCTACAAACTGAAATGTGCTGAGAATACAATCCAGTATTCAGATACAAATGTATTTAAAAAATACAAGTGTCTTTCCTTTAAAACCCCATTTTCAAGCAGTGTAATGTGTTCCTTTCAGACCAAAATCTTGCCCCTTTCCCCAGAACAGCTGTGAATACACTCAGTTGCTTCTGAATTCTCTGGGATCAGATAAATCGTTACAGTTAGAAACTCCTAAATACAAACCTGAACTCCAGAATGGCCGAGGGAAAGCATCACTTGGTTCCACAAGGAGCCTGCGCATGACTGACAAACAGTAAAACAATGTTTAAAATACAAGTTAAAAATCATCACCAGACCTCTGAGATACTGAACATGAACAGCTATACTGTAACACAGCACCCAATGTACTCAGGAGGCATTGAAGAACATGTGGACAAGTAAATATTGTTGTGGCCACTGCAGTAGGAGAGGGTTTAATTTAGCTGCCTTCTCACATCCACATAGCTAGAGACAACGTTAGGAAATCCCACCTGATGTGTCTGTGGGGAATTTCTAAAGTCTTCTCCACAGTTCCACGTCTGTGCATGACCACGTCTTTGAACGCAGATGGTGTTGATGGATAGGTGGACTGATTTATGTTCTTTCAGTTAAGGGGCCACAGTGCAGAGTAGCTTATTGCTATCAGTTCAGAGGGGGGAGGAATCTGGGCCTTCTCCAGCTTTGTACAGACAAGTGGAAGCCATATGTGATTTCCTACAGCCATCTAAAGGGAGCAGGAGCTGAAAGGTAACTTCCCCACCCATGTGGAGGAGTTTAAAGCCTGCTGAGAACTTCTCTCGGCCAAATGTTCAGGCTCCCTGCACTGTAGTGATTTGTGCAGCCTTTTCTATCTTTGAAACACGAGCAAGTTATTGTTGTTATACAAAGAAGCTGGCAAAGTGTCATCCCATGATTCAGCATATCAAGAAGCAAGATAGCATAACGCATCATTGTGCCAAAGGGTTGCGCAATGCGGGCTGGAACAGTCCATATAAAAGCACTGTTGTATTGGGATGGAAATGGCTTTTTTCATGGAAGATACCCATCTGCCAAAAAACCCCGTTGTATAACTAATGTTTTATGAGCAGAAGATCCAGAGGCACTGTGACACAGACATAGGAAAAGATACTTTGATTTGCCAGGATGATTTGTTTACAATTGTAACATCTGGTACAGAAAGTTCTGAAAGAGATCCATGAATTGAGAAGTCCTGCATATGGTTTAAACTGCACTGTGAATTGGAGATAATCCATTAGAGTCAATGGAGATAACCTGGCACAAAACTACCCTCAATGAAAGGAAAACCACAGCCAAAGAGCGTCAATGCACAGAACCTTAGTGCTTTTCTTTATAAAGCCCATGGGGAAGTCTGCAATAGGTCAGATTACTTCAGCTATTTCCATCATTCAACTTTTCTTTCACCCTTATGGCATTTCCCAGCAGGCCAAACCCCAGTAATTCCTCCCAAAGTGCTCTGACAGGTCAGACACTGTCATCCTACAGAATGCCAACATTGCACCCCATAAGGGATCAGGCCTTTTGTCTGTTACCTCCATCTGCCTCAGGAAGGGCTCTCCAGTTTGCCAACTCGTTGAGCTGGTCTCCACCAGGAAGAGCACCCTCACACCCTTCTTCCCAGACTTTCCTCCTTTCAGAGAGCATCGTTCCTAGAGGAAAGGCTCCAAAAGACCCTTAGGATTTAAAAGAAACATCTAGCTTTTAAAACCAAACCTCAATGAGGTCTTTTTGTTGAAAGAACTGATATCCTTAGAAAGGAAAACTGAGACCAGCAACTCCTTTTGCTGAAAAGCCTCTGGGCTGACATAATGGTGACCAACTCTGCCCCCACTTGCCACCAGAAGCCAAAGAGAAAAAGGTCTGCAAATCATTACCACATCCTCCTGCATCCTTCAGGCATCCAGTCCCCATCCTCTACTTTTAATTTAGATAATTGGTTTCCATGCCCTGTCTAACTTCTGTTTTCCCTGTCTGTGCCCTTCTGATTCAGTTTCCTCCCTGCTGGCTCCCTGCTACCTTGCCCAAAGAGCTGTTTTGGCATCATTTTTTCCTACTTTATTTTCTTTTTATATCTGTTGACTGTTTCAGATGCTATTAATTCTATTTAATAAAGATGGGAGACACAGGCAGTGAGGGAGAGCACCCTGTTAGTAGTAATGTAAATAGATCAAACTTTCACCCTACACCTCAAGTTGTGAGAACCTGGAAGTAAAGCAGTAGTTAAGGGCCTCAGCCGCTTGTATTGGCAAACCCATCTTTCATAAGCATGCAATTTAGATTTAATAATATGCTTAATGAATGGTAATTAAAAACAAATTGCAATTAAAACACTATTTAATGAGGTTCAACAGTGATGTAATAGATATGTATCTATCAGCAAGTTCAACTTCAATAAATATTTTCTTAATAACAAACTGGCATTTAATTAGTATGGGAAAAATGTTGCTGTTATATCTAAATTAAATTAAAATACACTTAGGGCACTTCCCCACTTAATAGTAAGTGCTAATGAAAAATATTTAAAAGACTTTTCTCTCCTTCCTTTTTTTTTAAGGGTAATGGTTACAAGAATTAAATAAAAGGAATTTAATTGATTGCAGAATATGAGGGTAGGATCCCGCCCTGCACAGAAACACTTAATTGCTTTAAAAATCTCCTAGTGCACAATATCTCCACTGACATATGTCCATGAACAGGCAGCCTGGCTGGGAGTGGAAGTATAAAGATTGAACAAATGGGATAGTTGACAAAGTCATGCTCAAAATTCCCACCACACCTTCCCCACTCACCTTTTGACGGCATTTCTGATCCCATCAGCATAAACATCTGAGCACCTACCAAAGACTTTAAAATAGAAATAAAGTGTTTTCTTTCTTCCTGCAGAGATAAAGTGTGAATATTTCATGGATCTTTATTTGTTCAGTGGGAGAGGGCAGGAGGAGTTTAGCATTTGGAGTTTAGCATATGTCAACTATTCTGTTTGAAACAGAGGTTTGTGAAATCTTTATTTCTCATAAAAGGTACTTCAGTAGCTTAAGCCCTGATCCTATCTGTCTCCTGTGCTCCCCAGACTCCTTATAGTGCCTGATGCTTTAATTGCTCCAGCACTCATTATGACTTGGACTAAATTCAAACAAAACATTTTATAGTGAAAAATAGCTTTTAGGAGCACACAAAACATGGACCCTTAAAACACTGACTATTTTTGATCAACTGGTTGGAACTTGGAAGGATTCATTTTGATAGAGCCTGTGGAAACACAAAATAAAACCTGAATAAATATTTTATAATTCTCTTTCTCTGCAGTTCTTTACTGAGTATTTCAGGACAGAAACTGGAAAAATGCCCAACCAAAACGTTTTCCTTGCATATATGATGAGGACTCCTTCTTCTGTGTCTTCACAGCACCCACCACAAGAGGTCTGGTTCACAGGAAGGATGCAACAATCTGATAGATTTACAATATCAATGCAAACAATTCCCTAAGGCAAATAATGACTTTTCAGTGTTTCACTCCTAAGACATTTTGTACATGACATTTTTGTACATCAACACGTGTCGCATACACAGGTACGTGTTTCTGTCATCACTGACTGCATGTAATGTACCTAATTGCACACAGAAATGAGTTTATAAGAAACAAAACGGCACAACACTAAACATAATTTAAATAAAGAAGAAAACCACACTGGAACAATGCTTCCCCTGAGCTCACTGTGGATTCCTTTTCTTTTTCTGCAAGTGTAAAAGACTCAGGGGAATGAGGTATTAAAGAGGAAAATGTAGCCCTTAGCTCTGTTCTTCTTGAAGACAACATCAAGAATAGGAGATGATAATCATAAACCTGGTCTCTTTGGATAGCTTTCCACTTAATCCCACCAGCAGCTGTTTGGCCCAAACCTCGCCTTCTTCTTTACACATCACAAACAGACTGGAACGAGGACTACTAGTTTTAAATTTCAATTATTTTCTGTTGGACTCAAGAGTGCCAATCTTGGTTTAAAGTGATGGGTCCAACATTGCACAGTATTATTTCATCAAGAAAAAAGATCCAGCCATAGAAAATAGGTAACAGATAAGCAACATGAGAATGAGTTACTGAATATAGCATATAATATTAAACCATACAAAATCAGAGAGAAATAGCACATATACCCAGCCAACTCACGACTGATCCTGAAAGCTCAGATGTATTAGATGCAGAATGTGAAGGATGTTTTCCTGGCATGTTCCAGCTTCTGCTATGATGCGGATAACACTTAGCATTAAATAATGCTCCTACGATTCCAGTTTTCAAGCATTTCACAATCCACTGCTAAATATGACATCCTGGGTGAAACAAATGTCTTGATTAAGGACTTATTAACATTGAAACAGAACTGACTTCATGAATTATGACAGGTGCTACTATACACGTCACAATGCATTACAGCTGAAAGCAAAGATACTGTCCTTACTTCAGAAAACCACAGCTATTTAGTTAGGGAAATACCCACTCAGAGCAGTAGGCACAGGCAGAGCCTGGATACAGCAGGCAGAACAGAAAGTCATATCCAATTCTTCAGTCCCCTGTCTCCTAGTGCACAGTGGTTGCTGTTGTGTATCTTACCACACTCCTACTTGAATGGAACAAAAACCATTCAACTTCAATAAAATACCTGCTCATCCTACCAAATTAACAGTCAAACCTGTGCTTTGAAGAAGACAATCTTCCTTCACCACTTAAACTACTTTTTTAGAAAACAGAAAGAGCCAATAGGGACCTTGGAAAGATGATTTATAATATGGATTACTGGACACTGGTGGAAATGCCCAGTATTGCACCTGGTTTTGATGGCAAGAGCCCAGCTACAACAGAACCCACAGCTCAGTGTCACCTTGTCCCCAGCACATCCAGTCACTTCATTAAAGCCCCCAGCCACAGACAAACTGGAGTTGCCCTCTGAAAAATCCAAGGAAATCTGTGGGGTTTGACTACGTCAGTACCTGCTGCAGTACCCGTGGTGGGTCAGATGGAACTGGAAGTCAATCAGGTTTAGCTTCCTAATCACTTGAAGGCTTTTAAAAACTCCACTTCAGATAAACGAAAAAGGAGATGGGAAGCACAGAAGCAGGAACTCTGGAAAAGAATTTGTTTAGGGTTGGCTACACCATGCCAAGATTGCAGTCTTTTTCAGCCAGGACAGCTAACGCTCTTACTAAGGGGAGAGCAAACTATCATCACTGATGCCACCAAAGATCTGAAGAGTCAGGAACTATCCCCTCATCCCTGAAGTATTTTCCACCAAAAATAGCAGAGAAATGCTGATTAGGAAGGACAGTGCTTTAACACTCTTGGCTTGTGGTTAGCAGTCTGGCATCTCTGGTGATGCTCAGCGCAGGCTAAGACAAACAGGAGGCCCATGCCAAGTTGTTCTGCAGGCAGTGGCCTGTTGCCAGATTGTCATTTTTCACAGAAAGGACACAATACCAAGCAATCTGGCTGAGAATGAATAAAAATGTCATCTGTGCTCGCTCCACTTCTAGGGCTTGTGCAGTATTGTTCTCCTCATGCGCAATACAATTCCAATTGATCCAACAGACACATCAAAAGATGCTGCTCAGGACCCTGTTGGTCACTCTTCCAACCTTGACAGGGAACTCACATCAAACTGTTGCATCTTACAGCAGTGATTAAAAAGGGTTCATTTCTTTCATGAGCTGAGGATGGTTTATTTTTTGCCTACTAGAAATTTGTCTTTCTTTCACCCAGCAAAAAAGCACAAGAATGAGACAATGAGACAGCATGAAAAAGAAATATGCTTCACAGAAATAGCAAACCATCAGATTTGCACATTGCTGGAGATGCAAAAGCAAAGATGATTGAGAAAAGGCTGCAAAGCCAAAAAAGCACTGACAAGATTCATCTGCCATCTGCGAGAAAGAAAGGAGAAAACAGAAATAAACATAGGCATGAGGAGGCAAGAGGAATGAACAGTGGTTTGTTACCATGGGGCACCTTCCACTGACTGAACTCTAAAGACTTCACCAATAGGGACATGGGTTTTGAAACAGAGTCTATGGAATTTTTGTCCTCAGTAACTCTTGTCTGAATGTGCACAGTAAGACAGCTTCAGCTTGGGCCCTCACACAGGAAAAGTATACATGAGGTACCCCAGGAGCATACGAATCATGGCTGGCTTTTCTGTGTTTCCCTGGAGAGGGGCCTCCATGTTTGACTGGCCATTTCCACACCATCTGCACATGCTGTTAGGACATGAAGTTGGAATAGTCAGTTGTTCAAGGTAAAGAGGATCTTTTTTTTTTCCTAGTTAGATTGAATTCAAGATACTACACACTCCTTGAGAGTTGTTCAGCCTCCTCATCTCCTAAAGACAGCAACAGGTCTTGAAGTATTGAGTAACATGCAGAAAATCCCAGACAAATGGGCTGTACCAGCTGGTATTAATGGGAAAGAGTGGTAGGGAGGTGGGGAAAGAGTAAAACTCCCTTCATCCTCTCAGTGCATTCTTGCCAACAGCTACTGATACAATCTAATTCTAAACCATCAAGACTAGATTTTCATGCTTGGAGAGAGATGAGGAACAGCTTCCAACAAGTCTCCATGAACCATCATAATGAAGAAACTCTACATATCAGATACAGCAAAACACAAGCTGGCAACAGAGAAGAGCACTGCATTCCTCACCTAGTGTTGTGCAGGGAACAGCGGTGCCGGATAGTTAAGATTATGAGCTTTCTTCCTCATTTCCTCTGAGGGGGTTATGCATCCTCTCTGGTGCTTTGACAGGCAACTCCTTGAGCAATAAATGAATTTGTGCCTTAGGAAAGTAAATCAGAGAACTCGACAAGATCTCTGTATTTTGAAAGTTGAACAATGACCCAAAGAATAAGAACAAACAGCACTGGAAGAAGCCATGCCCCTTTTCTGCCATCCCCCAAGCCAGGATTTACACTCCATCAGCCATCTCTGAACATTATTTGGTAACCCCTGACTGAAAACAAATCCTCAGTAGAGACTCCCCCACCAGAAACCACATGAATGGGAGTTACAGGAAAGATGCCTCAAACACAGCTGTACTCAACACCAGCTTGCTCTGTGACCTGATGATTTACCTGGCTCCAGCCTGTGAGAGGAAAACCATGGTGTGGTTTGCCACCTCACCGCCACAGCCAGGCACAGTACCACACCAACACTGCCCTACCCAGAGGGGAAGAGTAGGACTGGCAGCACAACAGCAGAACTGGATTCAACATCCAAGGTGCACTGCACAAACCAGACGTGATACAGCTCTTAAAAGGGGGCTGCAGAAAGAAGTTACCATAAAGTTTCCATTCCAAAGCACTAAAATCTTACATTTGCTTATTAAATTTCAGATGGGGCCCCAGGCAATTGAACAGAGCACCGGTCTAGCTACTGCATTTTGCTTTCCTTGCTGCTACTGATATACAGCCATAACTTACATAAATAAATTGCAGAGCCTAGGAGTTTAATCTTGGCTAACCATCCCTTCCACCTCTGGCTTTCAGGGTAAAACTGACATCACACTTCAGGTTTGGGTTTTTGTTTTATTATTTTCTCTCTTTTCTTTTAAAAGCATTACGGGAATGTGGAACAAAAGAAGAATAGCATATCCTCTGTTTAAGACCCCCTGATTCAAAGACCAGTTGAGACAATAGCAGGATTCTCATGTATTTTGTAGGCATTTAATAATAATGCAATGAGTCCAGTTGGAAAGTCATTACTCTCAGGGGCCTGCTGGGAATCTGTGCTCCCCCTGCTCACTGGTGCTTTCACATGGCTGCAAGCACAGAGGTGTGCCATGCCTGCATCCCAACAAATCCCCTGAGGCTGCAGCCTGAGTTAGCAACATACAACAGGAGCTGGGTGCTGTGTTAGGGCTCTGCTCCTGTGAGACTGCTGGAAAAGGGGATCTGAGATGACAAAAGTTGTTGCAGTTCCTACTCTTTGGCAATCGTTTCAGATGACACAGACTTGAAAGCCCTGATCCCCTCTCATGGGCTGGTTCCATAATGCTCAGTACAGGGAGGAAGGATGATTTTTTTTCTAAAAAGCTCAATAAAGATAGGATCTCCCATAAGCTGAGCTTGAGGAGCTCAAGGAATTGCCAGCCCCAATTCCTCACAACCTGTCAGCTCTCAGAAAGGCTTCAAAATGGTTTGGAAATAATGAAAAACATAATAAGAAATATAGTGGACTTTTTTATTTGCTTTTTGATTTTGGAACCTAGAATATAAATAACCACCTCATGTTTCAGGCTCTCTTCCATCACACCGTGAAGACTAGAGATGGTGTGGGTTTTGCACCCCTAGAAAGAAGAAATGTGCTGGGGTTCGTATTTGTTTGTATACTAAAAGTGAAAGTTCAAGGAAATAGCAAGAGCTCAGGCTTTAAAAGACCCCCTAGGCATTACTGGAAAGATTCACAGTAGTATTACCAGGCTCGGTACCTTTGTACTATTCGTCCAAGTATGACAGTGTCCACTCACAGCTGAGGATCTCCTCCCTTAGGTAGCACTAGAGAAAAAGGGCTAAACAGTGACGAGGAGAGACCAACAAGCTTGCAAAATATGTAGTAACCAAGCAGGGTAACAGCACTCAGCTGTTTTGCTGGTGCCCCCCCCCCCCCGCCAAGTTATCCTGGATAAGTCATGTATTAGCCGTTCTTCAGCATTGGCTAATTCCAAAGGTTTATCCCAGCCAGTCAAAATCAGAAATAGCCCATCTCAGACAAACAACAGGAGTGGCACATGCTGGAATCAAGCAGCAGGAGAGCAAAGAGCTAAAGCATATGCTTAACTGACGAACAGGAACACACGTGCTTAAAAAATTAAGCATAGGATTAAATATGTTGCTGCATTGAGACCACATGAATTCCGTAGTTAGTTTATTGCTATCACTACTACGATCATCACTACTACTGAGCAGACAACAGACCATGGTAAAGCTGGCTAGCCTTTTTCAGAACTGTTTGTGTGGTTTATCCAGCCTATGCTGGCATTTACACATCCTAAAGTCATGATTCAAAAGACCAAGATCAGCTACTACCCAGTTTGTTAAGACGAAGCTGAGGTCTAGTGACTAACTGCACCCCAGGAATGGCTTTGATAAGCTCTGGTACCTTAAGAAAAAGCACTAAATGATGGAGCAGAATGTGCCACAAGTAAATACTAGTGGGAATATTTGGATATGCAGAGCAGAAAAATGAGGGGAGTTCAGGCATTCCTATTCTGTTTGCTTTTAAACACTGTGTTCCTGCTGCAGAGAGGTGGTTAAGAGCAGGTGTTGGCATTTGAAATTCTCTTCTT